GCCCAGCTGTGCCCATCACACAGGAGCCAGTGCTGCCCCAGGCTCTGTCCCCAGGCACTCCCTGTGCAGGGCTCAGTGTCCCCATAGCAGCCTCAGCTCTGTCCCCAAGCAGGCCAAGCCACTCTGGGCCAGCTCAGGGCACCTTCTGGGTTTGCCCATGGGTGAGAAGCCCCAGGTGGAGCCGAAGCTCAGGCCCTGAAGTCGTGGTCAGGTAACAAACATCATGAATTGCCTGCTCCCCATAAAATAACAAAATTGCTCTTGGTCTCTCACAGACCTGGTTTTATTCACCACAGGCTGGTTTTCTCCTCCTTTTGGCAGCTGTTAGCACTGTGCTTTGGGAAGAGGAGGTAACAAACCACCGCCCAGGGATGAAAACATTCAGGTATTTACAAGAGCTTCACCAAGGTCACATAAATAACAAGCTGGGAAAGGAAAACACCAAGTGAGCAGAAACCAGGGCTGAGTGTTTCAGCATTTTGCCCATGTCTGTGCTATAAATGACATCTGGGAGCAGAAACCCGTTCCTGTAGCCACAGAACTGCTCTGTGTAACAGGACATGGTGCAGAGCAGCCCCCCTGGCTGTGCTCCAGCCTCTTCAGAGTGTGGTCAGTAAGAAAATGCTGGGAGATGGCAGGGGGGGTGTGGTGCTGTTCAGTGGCAAGCAAGCCCAGAAAGTCAGTCTTTGGGGGTCAGATTTGGAACAGGTTTTGGCTCTGAATGGGGCAAAGGTTTGTCCTGGGTCGGCCCAGGAGCAGCTCAGTTGCCTTTTGTGTCATCTCCAGACCCCCACCAGCAACATCTCAGTGTCAACATTGATATGTGGGGCTGTCTGCTACCCCAAAACCATGGGGATTTTGATATTTTTTAATGGCTTTAAAGAGTCGAAATTATTTAGAAATCCATTTGCTGATTATTTAACCCTTTTTGATACAAACCTAGGCATACACATGTGACTTACCAATGCATTTCCCTACAGGATTGCTTTGGGCAGGCCACTGTGGGTGGTCAGTGCCCTTCTCCAGGCTGAAATGTTCTGTCCTTGATTCCTGTCATGACCAAAGCCTTCTCCCTGCTCCCCTTTTCTCCCTACACTTGTTGACGTTTTCTTTTCCCTGTAATCAAGAAGGTGGATGATGACAGAGGTTGTTTCCTACTGCACAGGTACTGTAGCTGCTCTCAGATTTCTCTAAAAATGGAAACTAAAATAAATAAATAAATAAATCACCAAGCTCTTTTTTTTGGGGGGGGGGGGGGCAAATTAGAAGCATCCAGGTCCCACTGAAACAGGAGATGCAGCTCTGCTTGTTTCTCTAGAGGCAGAGGAAATCACAAGGCATCCACACAGTGATGATGGGAGGGATCATGGGAGATGATGAGGGACCTCAGCACAGTGACATGGGGTTGGTTGAGCTGGGGCAGCAGGGGAGGGCTCAGATCCCCATCCCTCTGCCCCCTCCTGCCCTGGCCCAGCCTGCTGTGCCTGCTGCTTCTCACAGGGTTTGCCTTTGCAGCTCCCTGTCAAACAACTTGGGCAAATACCTCCAAAGTCAGGTGTCCTTACTCTATTTAAGCAGCAAACTTAATCTGATATATTTATATCTGGAAGAATTTGGAGGTGTGGTGGGTGATGTTTTTCCCACAGGGTGTCTCTCTATGACTGCTCCCATTGCTCAGTGGTTGTTATTGTTCAGATCCCATCATCTGACCCTTTATAATCCCTGTATTGGGTTACACTGCATTGCTGGACATGCTTGCTCTATGCTACTGATTGTCAATTTTAGACTCTCCCATCAGCCTAAGAGTTTCTTAAAAGTAATGCAAGGTTATGTTACATGGGCACATTCCTGACTCCTTCCAGTGGCACTTGGAAATGCCACGGATTGGTAATAGAGGGGGGATTTATAAACAAAAAAAAAATGAAAGCCAACATTATAGAAATTGCTCTCCAATATTTGGCCACAGCATGTGGCAAGCATCAATTACCTTAAAAATAGAACAGTTTTAGGCACTTGAAACATGGGCTTGAAACATGGGCTGCCTCCTGTCAAGGGGTGACACAGCAGTCAGGCCTTGCTGATATTCAAGCGAAGAACTTGTCAACCTTTTGGCTTTCAAGAGGGCTAGATTGGAATTTTTGAAGAAAATGTTTAAATGAGGAAAAAATCAATGATGTGACGCAATCCTGCAGGAGAGGCTGCTGGTTTCATTCCAGAGTTCATCCATATGTGAGTACCTGCCTTACAAACAGCGAGCAGTGGGTGAGAATGGTTCATTACCCAGGGCAGATCTCATCCTTTGTCTGAAGTGCTTTTGTTTAACGCTTGTTGGGTACCTGCTTAGTGTGAGTTTTGAGCTGCTACTGCCTGTAGGAATTGCTGCACAATCATAAGTGATTTTCCAACACCTGATAGAGTTCTCAGCACCCCTGTTTTCCTTCTCTTGTCTTCTGCTGGGGCTTTGAGGGCTGCTCTGGCACAGCTCTGCCCTCTGGTAGCAGTGCAGCAGCTTGTTAGCCCAGGGATTCCTGAACAAGTGTCAAACTGGTGTGGAAATAGCAAGTGTCACCAGTGGAAGTGGCTTTCCTGTCTTAATGAAGGTTGAGAAATGTGTGATTGTTTTGGAAAGCTCTGAGGGGAGCACCAGCAAATGTCTTTGGGAAGAAGGTGGGAGTTTAGACTTGGAAAAGTGTTTTAGACCCACTGTGAGCGTGTCCTCACCTTCAGGGTGTTGTTTGTTGCTCTAATGTGCTGTTACCAGAACACCAAAACACTAAGCAGTGTGTTAGGAAAGGAAGTACATCCTGGAAACATAATTTATGGAGGAGAGACCTAAAGTAGGCAAAATATGATACCCACCTTGGAAATCTGTGGGATTAGCACCCATGTCACCAGGAGAGGTGTCACCAGGCAGCCCCTTGCTCTGCATCTGATGGGGAAGGCATCATTGCCAGTCTAGAGTTTCCTAATGGTGGTATTGACAAGTGATATATTTCTGCTTAAGAGAAAAAGTGGTTTTCAAACACCTGATAGTGTTCTCAGTACCCCTGTTTTCCTTCTCAAGAGGAATTCATGGGTTTGACCCTGCTTAACTTGGATGATCTGATAAGACCATGGCCCAAGATGGCCTGGCTGAAGATCATGGAAACCCAAGCAGGTGGCATGGGGCTTTATTTACAGGCAAGGAAACAGCAAGTGAGCAGCAAGCACTGCACAGACAGCTTCTGGGGCCCAAACTGCATGGTCTGGGAGAGCAGCACGCAGGCTGCTGAGGAGCACTGATTTATTTGAGAACACCAGGAAACCATTTGTGTGTTCTACAATGGGCAGCAATCACTGGGGGTTAGAGCAGATAGATTGATGTGTGGGTCTGTTGTTGTGCTTGCCACTGCATAAAATAAAACAAGGGTAAGGACATCCCTGAAATACCAAAGGGGCAAATGGAGCCATTGCATTCTTGGCTTGTTTAAATGAGAAACATTTATTATCTTTCCCTTTGCCACTTATGCCGTTCCTAAATTTTTGCCCTCTTCCCTGCTGTGTAACAGCATGAATCAAATGAGGACCTTTGGATAATGGACTTTTAATAGAGGTTAACAGGGCTTAGAGCTCCATGTTTCATGTTACAAAACACGGCAAAGAGGCACCATCATCATGCAGACCCTATTTTGCTGCTGGCAGACTCCAGCAGAGCATGGCTGAGACTGTGATGAGAAATATGGTTTAAAAATTGGCAGGGCATGGTTTCAGAGCCTCTCCCCCATGGTTTTGCTCCTATGGAAGCTGCATTTGCAAGGTGAGGATTTGATTTGATACCCCTGCAAAGAAAATTTGAAATTATGAGAGGCAATCTTCCTAATCCAATGAACGGCCCAAAGTGTGAGTAGCAAAATGAGCCACCCTTGCTACTCTACTCTTACAAAGAAACCATGCACATGGTGATGCTGGAGGTTTGCTGTGGGAATTTAGCAGTCTATAAAGTATTCTGAAGAAAGAAGGAGGCACTTGGATGAAATGGACACCTAAGATGAAAAGGATTTTAGAGTGCTACATCAGGTCTACAAATATAACAGTAAATCTTTGTGGCTGCATATTAATTCTGAAAAAAAAAAGGTAAAAAGTAGGAGAAGGATGATCTGGTGATGAGCTGCCAGCCAAGAAGAGTTGATGGTGCAAATGATGCTCATGGCAGGGCCAGGCCAGTCGAGAAGCCGCAGTGGCATTGCCCCTGGCTGGGAGCAGGGATGTGCCATGGGAAACGCTGCCCTGGGAGCACTCAGCCTGCTCCAAGGGTTTGGTGCCTGTCCTTGCACGGACCTCTGTCCCCAGGCAGAAGGGGCATGTTGTACCAGCTCTACCCTCCTTTTTCCACCTCGGAGGAGTTTCCCCAGACCAGGATGTGAGGTTTGGGAGAGGTCACCCACAGAGGGTGGCTGCACTCACACCAAACCCCCTGTGATGGTCAGCCAGGGCTTAGACCTGGCCAAAAGCAGCACAGGGCCTGTGGTCTCTGGTCCTTTTGAGATAGATTGGAGATGTTATGGACACAGAAACCTTTCTGATTCCTCCCAGAGGCCAGATTTCACCTGCACATCTCACAGGTGCCGCTGATGTCCCTTCATCCTGCTCTGGTGATTCCGCCCCGGGCAGTGCAGTGTCCCAGGAATCCTCTGGAACATGTCTGTCTCCTGCCTCCCTCCGTGGGGGACACACCAGCTGCACTGAAATGTCAGAAGGGTTTGCACAGCTGACAGGTTGCTGAAAATGGAGCATCGCCATAAATTCTCTTTATCCAGCCAAGTGCAGCTTAATATAGACTGAACTGCACGGGCTGTGCCCCGCACTGAGCCCAGGAGCTGCCACAGCTCAGGACCAAAACATGAACTGGTCATTTTAACCAGATAACTACTGCTAGTGAGGGGGGAAAAAAAGAAAACCCTTTGAAATTTATCTTTCTGTTTAGGTTTAAAAAGTGTTAGAGGAAGGAGGGGAGAATGAACATGTCTGAACTTGGCCAAAACTCCGACGAAGACGTGTGTCCTGAGGACATTGATGAAGATGAAATCCTGGCTAACCTGTCCCCTGAGGAGCTGAAGGAGCTGCAGAGTGAGATGGAAGTCATGGCCCCAGACCCTGAAATCCCGACTGGAATGATACAGAGGGATCAGACAGAGAAACCCCCCACGGGCAGCTTCGACCACAGGTCCCTGGTCGATTACCTGTACTGGCAGAAGGCATCCAGACGCATGCTCGAGGATGAGAGAGTTCCTGTCACCCTCCTGCCCTCTGAGGTAACGAGCAAAAATCACAAATATTTATTATGCATCAGCAGTGGGATCTGTTTTGTAGCTTTAATACCTTAACCTGCCTCTGCTTCCGTCCCTTACGTAAGGTAGAGTACAAACGAATGTAGATTAATCCTAAAAGCCTCATCAGTGATAGAATCCAGCTTGGACTGATGTCAGGATTTGTAATTTTTTAATTGCTTTTCCCAAATATTTACTTAAGCTTTTTAATAGAAAAAAAAAATCCTAATTCTGATTAGAGTAAAGCAAATCACTGAGAAACTGTCACAAGATCAGTTTTGGAGGATGTAACTCTAATTAGTTTGATTTTGCATATGGAAGAACACCATGTTGCTTTTCCATGGAAGATTATATTAATCATACAAATTAAATTATTAATTGACAGAATTTAATGATGTACTGGAGAAAAATCCCAAACCACTGTATTTTAACAGGGTGAAACATTAACAACCAAGCATGCAAACTCTTGAACTAGTTCAACCATGCTCAATACAATGCTTAAATTTATTTGACTATCCCCATGACTTTTAAATGAAGTTAAGGTCATACTTAGATATCTTTCAGGATGAGGGCTACACTTAAAAATAGGTTAATAGAATTGAAACATGGCCAGATGAAACACATCCATACTTGAATGTGAAGTTCTCTGGAAGTGAATTTGAGGTGACTTATTTATTTTATTTTTATTTTAAATATCAGTGGTTTGCTAATACTCACCGGTGTGGCGCATCCCAGACTTCCCAGGGCAGGTTTCATGAGCTGCGTTTGGAGACCAGGGGAAATCTGTGGGATTTTTTCTCCTGCACTCTTATGCTCAAAGAAACAATTTTGTAAACACTTCAGAGGTTAAATCTGAAACCTGGGCGCGTGGACCTGGCTGCTGCATTCACAGCTGACCCATCAATCCCCATCCCAAACCCATTCACCCCCACAGCCCCAAGGGCAGAAGTGACTGGGACAATTTCGCTGACTTTGGGTGCAGCACAAGCCATGGCACTGTCCTGCCTGAAGAGTGCAAATTTCAGGGAAATAGCTTGATTTTATTAGTGCTTCATTAGCATTTCTGTGATGGAGGAACTGATTGGAAAAAGATGCTTGACAAAGAAAAATCTCAGTAAGGAGTGTCTCTAGAATTGGTAGATGTTTGCAACTAATTTATTTGGATGTTAGAAGCCTCATTGCCCTACAACTGCTTTGTGCAGGGGCTGGATTCTATCTCTGGACTCCAAACTGAGCTAATGTTTTGTCTTCAGTGAGGTGCTGCCTTAAGTGTGATGCCCTGGGACTGCCAGGGCAGGTAGCCCTGTTGTCCCTTGTGCTGATGATTCTATTGATTCCACAGGGGTCACAATGTGCCCTTTTCACTCCTCCTTGGGCTGAGCAAACCATCAGGGGGTCACACTGATGTCCAGTGCTTTGTGGCATATGAAGGAAACTTTCTTGTCAAAGAATTTATAAAGATTACTAAATCCAGAAAGAGACTTTGGATCAGAAACTCTCAACCCCCGGAAGGGTTCAAAGACCATCTTAACATATCATTAAATATGTTCAGGATTTAATTGTTAGGACTTAATTTAGTAGGCAAAGATGAGAAACTGGTTTGCAGCTTCTTTAGGAACAAGTTGTTCCTGTGTTCCCAAGCAAGCTGGTGCAGCCTGAATTTACAGCAGTGACACTTTTAAGGATTATTCTCTATTGTATGGGCAAAGAGGGCTCTAAATCCAGCTGCTACTATTTGACCAGAAAGTTATTGTAGCAAAGATGTTTTGCAACTATTTCAGCTGTGAGGTTTTGTCTCCCTCAGAGAAGTGCAGCGGAGGAGATGGAAGGAGAGGCCGGCAGCGGTGGAGAGGTGGCTGGAGGGAGGATGCCAGGAACAGAGGGAAAAGAGAGACATTACCAAAATGAGCACGTGTCCGAGTCAAGAACACAACCTGGGGACACAAAGACAGATAGAAGTGATAAGGAGAGAGTGGTGGAGGAGGATGAGAAAGAAGACGCAGAGGAGGAGGAGGAAGAGGAAGATGATGAAGAAGACGAAGAAGAAAATGAGACTGAATTGGAAACAAAGGAGAATTGCACCAATGAGAACAGTCACATCAACCAGATAAGTCAGAAGCCAGTTACAGAACCAGGAGAAATCAAAGAAAAGCCCAAGGAAAATGAAAAGAAAATATCGAAATTGAACATCCCCCAGAAGTTAGCGCTGGATACCAGCTTCATGAAGATAAGTGCCAGGCCCTCAGGAAATCAAACCAATTTAGAAGACAGTTTGGAGAAAGTCCGAAAAAACAACCCAGACGTGAAGGAGCTCAACCTGAACAACATAGAAAACGTCCCCAAGGAAATGCTGATCGATTTTGTCAACGCCATGAAAAAGAACAAAAACATAAAAACGTTCAGCCTGGCCAACGTGGGGGCTGACGACAACGTGGCGTTCGCGCTGGCCAACATGCTGAGGGAGAACAGGAGCATCACCACCCTGAACATTGACTCCAACTTCATCTCCGGCAAAGGCATCGTGGCCATCATGCGCTGCCTGCAGTACAACGAGACGCTGACCGAGCTCCGCTTCCACAACCAGCGCGGCCTGCTGGGCCACCAGGCAGAGATGGAGATTGCCAGGCTGCTGAAAGCCAACAACACCCTCCTCAAAATGGGCTATCACTTCGAGCTGCCGGGGCCCAGGATGGTGGTGACCAACCTGCTCAGCAGGAACCTGGACAAGCAGAGGCAAAAGAGGCAGGAGGGGCAAAGGCAGCAGCAGATGAAGGAGCAGAAGGAGTTGATAGCCATGCTGGAGAATGGACTTGGGTTGCCTCCTGGGATGTGGGAGATGCTGGGGGTACCGCTGTCCCAGCTGAGGATGCAGGAGCCCCCACAAGCCCCCAAACCCCCTGTCCCTGCAGCTGTGTCACTGAACAAAAGGCAGGAGAACACGAGGCAACCAGCACCCGAGCAGCCGTGCAGGGAGAAACCCATCTGCTTCAAAGTGGTGAAGCTGAAGAAGACCCAGCGCAAAGCCCCTGTGCCAGAGTACGTGGAGCCTGCTGAGAAAACCAACCTCAAGGACGTCATCAAAACACTCAAACCAGTTCCCAGGAGAAGACCTCCTCCCCTGGTGGAAATAACCCCCAGAGATCAGCTCCTCAACGACATCCGCCAGAGCAACGTCGCCTATCTCAGGCCGGTACGTGCAGAGTGGTGCCTCCGAGGGGGGAAAGGCACTCACCTGCTGTGCTCTGAGCCCTGGCTGGAAATGCTGGGCTTTGGCAGGGCTGGCAAATGCACCTGCATGTGGCATTGTCACCCTTTTGTGTCAGGCTGCCACTCCTGGTGTGCAGGTGGTTGTTTTCCAGCAGCACTAAGGTACACAGGGGACTCACACCAAGGCTTCAGCCTTGTGCATCCCTGGCTGCATCCACAGGGTAAAAGAAAGGAAATTCACTCAGGAGGTGAAAAAACCCACAGAAACTCAACCTTTCTATGCTCCTAATAGTGTATTAGTTATGACAGACCCATGGTATTATGGGACTGTTATTTCAGGAGTACAACAGGTATTATTTTTCACATCAGTCTCCCACAAACCCCATGTTTCTCTCTTCAATAGCTTTGTTTTTCCTTAGCTCTCACTTTACACAAGAGAGCACTTGGCACACACTGAAATCCAGCCTGGACTCACACTCTGCAGCCCTGCTCCTGCCTGCCTCACCCAGTAACAAGGAGTGCATTATTTTACTGGTCCTTTGCTGCTCATTCTTCCGTTTGTCCTTATATAGATCAATTGTAAAATTCTAGTGCTAACAAGAAAAAAGAAATTAGATCCACCAGCAGTAAAGATGGAACAAGGTTGTGGCAAGAAAGTAGTGGTACTGTAGGGGATTTTATATTTGTTTTCAAGTAAAACTTTGCCACTGAAAATTGGCAATTCAATGAGATCAAGATCATCCTGACTTTAGAATGCCAGTCCAAAACTGAAAACTGCCTCTTGGGTATGGTCTCACTTGGGTACCAAATTCATGGGCTTCTTCTCAAAATGCTGGCCACCAGATTTAAGCTCTTGTTCTCCTGACCTGTTACATTCCCTTGCATTGATTCAAGAAATCTTAAGAGCTGGCTGATGTATTTGTAGCTTGATGCCTGTTTGTGCTGTCAAGGCTTTAGGAAGAGGACAGAAAATCCCTTGTAGTTAAAAATAGTCAAGTAGTATTTTGTAATTATCATTTCTTTCAATATTGACATTTTAATATAGCGGTCCTAATTTTTCTTCCATTTATACCTACAAAGAAATAAATATTTTCTCAGTAATTCCAGACAGAGTAGTTTGTCCTGATATTTTGGCAGGCGCAGGTTCTGCAGTGACCTCAGATTCTGGTCCAGGATTACCCTGAACATTCTGTCCTGTAGGCAAGGTTTGGGGTTCTGAGTTTGTGCTGGCCACTCCAACTTGGCTGCAGCCAAGGCCTCTCCCCAGGGCATTTCTGGGCCAGTCGAGGGTTTGCATTTTGGTTCCACATCCCAGACAAGACGACCTGCTTGTGGACAGCTCACAGATTGTGCTGGTGACAAGGCTGGTCCTTCATGGCCGTGGGAGCTGCTGCCTGCCCAGCTCTCAAGAGGCTGGAGGACAATGGAGCTCGTTCTCTGCCAGGCACAGCCCTTGTTTTGGACAGCAATGGTTGAAAAACCTGGGTGCTGCCATATGCCAGGGGTGATACTGAACCCCAGCCATTCCCCCAAAATGATCAGGAGGATTTTATCCATGAGAGCTGTGGGGTTAAAGATAGACAGATCAATTCATGGTGCATCCTAAATATGCCAGATAACAATTGCTGTCCCAGCCCATGGAAAGATGAAACTATGGACACATTCTCGGGGCTTGGGGTGGTTTGTTTTGGTGGAGTGTTTGGGGATTTTTTGGGATGGCACTGTTTTGGCCTCTGTCATCAGACCACTTGGCTTGGATTTGGGGCATTAGGGTGTTATTCTGCCCATCCTCCATGGTTTTGGTAATTCCTTTTTGCCTCAATTCCCTCAGCTTCATTTCTAAAATGGAGTTTTTCTGCTTGAGCTGAGTTGGGTGTTTGTTCTCTCTGTGGTGAGACTCAAGGCCTTCAAACTGCTTTCCTGGACCTTAAGCATTCCAAACATCCAGTGGGGCATTCCAAACAAAAGAGAGCTCCCAATTAGAGCTCCTTGGAGTTCCCAGCTGTTATATTTTAGTTTCTGGGGGTTTGTATTAGACTAAACTGGTCTGGTAAATAAGGCTGAGAAATTGCCTCCTCCTAATACTTCTTGTCCTTGTCCAGGTGCCGTTGCCAAAGCAGCTGGAGTGAGAGACCAGACTGACCTGAAGAAAACAACTTGGAATAAGGACTACTCAAGTTTTGCCTACAACTGTTTCAGCAGATGTTTTCTGCAGAAGCCAGGTGGTGTATTCAACTCTTTGGGAACAAAGCTTGTGACACACACTTGTGTAAGTGTGCTGAAAACGGCTGGCATGGGAAAAGTCACTGCTAAGTGTTTCCATCAGGTATCAAACAATCCCGCTGCCATCTGTCTGCCAAGTGGATCTGAGGCTTCAGATTGTTGTGGGAGTATTTTCTCAGAGGCATCAATAACCTTGTCTTTCTAGTTTGTCAGCAAACTATTTTGCTTCCACGTTGTCCTTCTGCTGCCAGATTCTGCAGGAACACGCTGTGCTTTATCTTATCCTTCTTTTCACACACATGCTACTTTATTACTCTCTTGTCCATGAGAAATGTATTTGGTTTCTATGTATACAGCTTCATTTTTTAGGCTAAGGAAATAGAAATGAAATAAAGCTCTCTCTGTAAGAAGCGTGCAGCACTTCCATTGCTAAAAAGCATTCACAGAACAATTGCTCTGGTACAGCAAACACCTTCCAAGCTCCTTCTATTTCAGAACAATGTCTAGTGGGTATTTACCTGATCAGCATTTAAAAGATGATGCCATGCTCTGCTTGAGAAATGTGATGTTCATTCCCTGTGATTCACCATGGTCTTACTGTAATCCTTAATTGCAGCCACCTTGGAGAGCACTGAAATGCCATTTTAGGTCTCTCTCCATGCTTTTTTTGTGGCAGGAGGATGAGCCTCACCACTATTCCAGGAGTTTAAGAAACACCTAATTCTTCCTAGTATGATGTGTGAATAGTGTGTCACATCCTGGCAGGCTGGATTTGAAGGGGTAAAACCTGTATATACACAACTCAGTTTTCCCTTAATAATTTTATGATTTTTTTTCTCCCCCCTCTTTATGATCACTTTATGATCATTAAGTTCTTCTGCTGCCTTTCTTGTACAGCAGCTAGAGCTAAGTCACACTCTTGTGAAATACATTCACAAGAAACCAATTGTTTTTGAGGCTATTTTTTTTTAAAGCTGCAAGGCACAGGGAAAGAGCAAAGGCTTTCCCTGTGCTAAAATGCACCTTCCTGTGGCTGCTTGATCCAAAGGCACAGCTTTGTATCTCCTGGCAGGATTTCCTTCAGGTGAGTTCATCTCTGAGTGGTAACTCTTAGCAACCTTCCCTGGCAGCTAAATCCCAGTCCCTCCCTGCTCCCCCTTCCCATGTTTATTTTAATAGTCCTGTAGTATCAGCAATGTCCAAGACCTCTTGAATCCAAGGTAGTCTCTGCTGTCACTTGTTCAAATTTTCACTTGTTCTTGTCCTTTGGTACCTATCACCTGGTCTCTTTCCAATCTCCACCTTCCAAACTTGTAAAGCTCCTTCTCAGCTCTGCTTCTGCTTGCAAATGTGATGCCCCAAACTTGGGAAAGCTGATTACTTTCATTGCCCAAGAAAGAGCAAATAGCTTTAAAGCATCACATAGCAGGGAAGTAACATAAAGAAAGAAAGTAATTTTCATTGCAGCCTTTTCTTTTTGTAAAGGTGAAGAGCAGGAAAGGAAGAAGCTTGGTACTTCCAACCAAGGCCTTGCACAGAGCACAGCAGCAGGTGACAAATGCACCAGGTAACTGCCCAGGAAAGCTGCTGGAGCACACTGCTCTCCAGACTGGCTTCAAGGCCAGGCTGGTGCAGCTCAGACTGCAGCAGCTGGGACAGGGAAGCACAAAGGAATATGTAATATAGTGCTTTAAATCTCCAATTGAAGCTGCCAGGCACCAATTACTGCTACACCCAGAAGCTGCCAAACATGAATTTCCAGGGTGGATAGAGCATGACCTGTGAAACTCTGCTCTGATCCACGTTCTCCCACTGAGCAGCCTCTCAGGGATCACAGGAGGAGGGAGGCACACACAGACATCACACCATTAGCCTGACTGCAGCAGAGCTGGTACCAGTACTGCTCTGGGCACAGCTCTCAGTAATCCTAGAGGCAAAAATCCCTCTCAGGTAATTAACAGGAATTGAAATCCCAGTTAAGTAGAGTTGAGTTATGTAAGAGACCAAAGCTGCATGAAGAAATACAGTAAGTATTCCACCTCTGTAGAGCAGCTGTTTTAAGGATGCGAGAGCAAGGCTGGAATATTTCAGCTCAGAGGTCCCCTGGGCCTCAACAAAGCTGACACAGAGCACAGAGCCAGCAGCTTAATCCCCAGCACGGGCTTGTGGCACGAGCCACAGGGTGACAGCAGATCTCCCACCACCCCAACCACAGACACAGGCACAAGGTCGAGTTTCCAACCATTAGAATTTATTTTTCTTCATAACTGTGTAGTTTTTAAAATGCTACTGTAATGATGAAGTCATAGGCTACTATGTTCTTTAGGTGTGGAAACAGTTTTTGAAAACAAAGACCATGCGCTACAAGTGAGGAACAGGCCATCGACTCTTCAGCTGGAATATACAGACATTTTTGATAAATACTGATCACCTTAACACTTAAATGGAATGACATGTTCAGAGTTCTACACAGTTCACTATGAAAACAGCATGGCAAGTTACATAAAAGCTTCAACTTCAAGGATCCTTGCTTTTTTGTTAAATTAATTACTTGGTTAGAAAAGAGAAATTCAAGAGTATTTGAAATGGAGTCTCACCTGGACAACTTTCCCCCCCTGTCGTTGGTAAGCTCCTGTTATCAAGATGATTCCATCAGAGCTGGCAGTTAAATTGTGTATATATAAAAGAATCCCCCACACTGCTTTCAACATCAGGAGTTTTAACAGGCAAATATCTTCATGAATTTGAATGGGTTTTCAAAAATTTTATCTTGACATTTATTGCTTGTACTTGTAAACCTGAAATCCAGTTTATTCCTTTGAGGAGTGTTGGAAGTACAGAGTCAACAGATGCATGTTTGACCTGTATCTTTGCATTCTGGGTGAGAAGAAAGAAAAAGATGACCCACGCTCAAGAACACACATACACCTCCATCTACAAACAGCTTGTGCAGACTAAAGCAGGTAAGTCCTAAAGTAGCAGTATTTAAAAACATCCATGGGGTAGGAACTCAGCTCATCCAACCTCTCTCTTTTTCTCCCATGCTTGGCCAGGGTTTAGCTGGTACACAGGGAAGTTTGGCTCTCCTACAGAGGGGAGCAGCTCTATGGATGAGGATTTTGGAGAGCCTGAAGGTAAATGTTACTGGGACTGGCAGGCAGGGCCGTGTATATTCTTCATGCTTACAGCTATTTAGATTATTTCAGGGCTGCTAAAGGAGGGCTGTGAGGTGAGGACAGGACCCCAGACTGGGCACAAGCACTGCAGAGTTTTACCACATCCAGTTAAGCTGGTAATGTGGTCTCTGTAACACAGAGCACCCAAGGGAGGGATTTGGAGGATGCAAGAGATACCTGCCTGTGATACATTCCAGCTCATCTGAGCATCACCAGCCTCAAAGGTGTCACCCAGCATGACCTGGCTAAACTGCAATATTTTAGAACTGAGATCAAAGGGATGTTGCTTTAATAGACCAATTTGCTACAAGTCAGTTTGAGAGACTGCATTCCATAGGTTTCTACCTCTTCCTCCTCTACCCCCAGAAGAAGAGACAAGCAAACATGGTTAAGTTAGGATGTATTTGTGTAAACACCAGAACATTTTGCTATACAATAGAAAAAAAGTTGCTGTTTGTATGTTCTTAGAGGAGCCCTGAAGACCTTGGAATACCTGTATCCTGCAACTATTAACCTGTACCACATGCATTTCCTGTTTTGTACATAAACTGAAAGCAAGCTTGAACAATAGTAAATAGCAACTACACTCCTGCAACAGGCAGAAATGCCACGTTGCAGCTGCTTACTCCTTCACTTTAGATATGTAGTCAGCCAGTTTGTTGATACTATCCTCTTGCTGTTCTAGAGCATCCAGAATGAAGCCCATCGGGGTCTTCTTCAAGCCTATCCCCTCCATCTTGTTCTGCAGCTTGTTCTGTATGTTCCTGAGCCTCAGGGAAGCATGGACAAACATCACTGCATGACAAAAACACCCTCATTAATTGCTCATGCCCAAGGAATGCATAGTTCTTGCAGCACTTAAGACATGTCCCAGCACTGTGACATCACTGGAAGATGATGATGTATCAATGACTGCTGAAGTAACCACAGGTATCCATTTAATAATAACATCAAAGATGGCTTGTGCTGCTTTGTGTCCCCTCCCCCAGCTCTGCTTTGGGACCACTTAAACACAGATAGCAAAGTTAACAGCTGACTTAGACTCTGCAGACTTGGTTGAGAAAGCTCAGCTCACACACCTCCAGCCCCCCAGGGAAGAGAACAAATACTCACAGAGGAGAGGAAGCGTGATCCCAAACATGAACACCATGACATCCCCCAGGTAGGAGATCAGGAAGTAGCTAGACAGCATGATGGCCAGGACAAACGTGGTTGGGTACTGCTTCTTCAGCTTGCGGAGCACATCCTTGTTGTGTGACATCCACACAAAGCCCAGGAACACCAGCACCACCACAGTGCCACCAATGAGCATGTTCAGGGGACTCAGAAACCTGGAGGGAAGAGGAACAACAACCAAAGAGTTCAGTTTCAGCACCTTCATGACTTGTGTGTCCATAGAGGATCAGCCTGCTCAGTGGTAATGTTAGGGAGGTAAGGCATTGAAAAGGAAGTTGCTGTTGTGAAAATCTTCACCAAGGTCTCTAGCAGGAGCTGAATAAAGTAAAAAGTATAACTGAAGAAGAAACCCTTAGCACTGAATTAGGGTAATCTTTGTCTTTATGTTCTCTTCCTGAGCTTAGCTCAGGATGATGAGTTTCTGCAGCACATCATCATAGAGGCACTGCCCACCAGGACCCCTCCTACCTCTGCAATCAACTCATTTGATATCACACCCAGAGTCAGCATATCTAGATAGCAGATGGAGACAACACTGACTGATCTTCTCCCTTCACATGACCAAAACCAGGCTCAGGCTAGGCCTTCAGATGAACTA